AAAAAAAAAAAAAAAAAAGAAATAGTGTCCTCAATCTTATCACTGTTCTCTGGTAATAGTTTACCCTTTACTTGCCACTAGAACTGAGATCACCTTGGAGTCAGGAACTATGACTTTCTTTTCTGTGTCTTTATTTTCTAACGTGTTACCGGTCCCAAAATAGGCCTTGGTGACTTTTGGGAGAGTTCAGTGGTTTTTGATGAGGTCAGAAAAACCGGATTGTTCAGGGCCGCTGAATGCTAACTAAGAGGTTTGTATTATTTCTTGGGAAGCAAGTGTCTACCAGAGGCTTTTATGAAGTCACTAGGACTGTGTTTTAGGGAAATTAGACTGACCTCGCATGCTAAGGATTCCAAGGGTAGTAAATGGGGCAGGATGATTGTTTAGGACACTATCCTGTGAGATGGCAAAGATCTGAAGATGGTAGTGGCCACAGAAATGGAGAGAGCAAGAGGTGTCCAGGGCAGAACAGATAAGAGTTTGTACCCGTGCAGGGTTGAGAAATGAATGAAAAGGATGTGGAGAATCAGGCTGAGAGAAGAACATTTATGAAAAAGAGGGAGGCTGGGAGTTGTGTCGAAGGAGGGCTGGCTGGAGAAAGAGTAAAGAGTTCTGTTTTAGGATGGGGGTGAATTGGGAGTGTGGGTAGAAATACGCATGGGTAGGCTGAGTGTGGTAGCACACACTTGTATTCCTAGCACTTGGGAGGCTGAGGCAGGAGGATTACTTGAGCCTGGCAAGAACCTGTATATCAAAGAACAAAGGGAAGTATTAGTGGGAAGATGGACAGATGGGGAGTTACTCCAAGAGGAAGTGTGGGATTGAAACTTTAGAGAGGCCAGGGCTGAATGGAAGTTTTGCCTGTAGAGGAGGGGAGTTGAAGCTGTGAAAGAGAAACTAGATCAGATCCTCATGCTCACTCCTAGTCTGGCTTTGTCCCTTCGCCATCCCTGCCATGTCAGTGTCTGCACAGAGGAGGGACTCGCTACCTTCCAAGGCTCTTACAGACAGTTTAACTGTTGAAAACCCTCCCATTGAGCTCCTGTCAAGGGATATAGCTCAGCGGCATAAGCGCCTGCCTGGCAAGCTCAAGGTCATGAGTTTGATTCCCGGTACTCCCTCCCCCCTCTAAAAAAAAGAAAGTTGAGCTCCTGTCTGCCTCACTGCAGACCTTAAGATTAGCATGCAGTTGTAGCTGTTGTATCCACCACCGTCCTCAGTGCTTTTCATGCATAACTGACATTAAACGGTAGAGCAGCCCTCATTGTAGCAGAATACAGCCATATGGCAGGGTTACATCTTCATCTCCTCTCTTTAAATCTTTGCTCGCCTTTGAATTATGTGTAATTACCAGGACAGACCTATTGGAATAGGCTAATGTGCTGCTCATGTTAAAAAATAAAAACTGAACTTGCTGAGTGTGGTGGCACATGCCTACAATTCCAGATTTCTGGGAGGCTGAGGCACAACCTCAGTTGGAGTTTGAGTCCAACCTAAGCAATTTCGCAAGTCCCTGTCTCAATTTTTAAAAAGGAATGGGGATGTAGCTCATGTGAAGGCCCTGGGTTCAATTCCTGGTACTGCAAAAAACAAACAAAAACCAAACCAAAACAAAAAACACCCAAACAAAACTCTGAACTTAAAGTCCCCACTCCAACTTTCTACAGGCTTCTATATTTAAAGAGGAGAGAGCTTGACTTCTTATCTCTCTCCTTTTATCCTCCACCCCACCCTGGGTGGACTGTGTGGCTTCTGACTACCCACTGTTGGTGAAGTGAGGTTGAAAGCAAAAGTGGCACAGGAAAGGTGCCATTGTCATCTGGCACTAATCGATCCATCTGAGCTTGGTGGATCTGTGGCTGCCTCTCCTGTGCAGTGCTTTTGTGGCCCTTTCTTTTTTTTTGTACCGGGAATTGAACTCGGGACCTCGTGCTTGCCAGGCAGGCACGATTCTACTGAGCTATATTCCTGGCCCTTTGTGGTCCTTTCTTGCCTGCACCTCACTTGATCTAGGTGGTTATATCTGTCTTGCTTTTAGTGCTTCCCTCTGCCTTTGGTTTCCAGAGTCCTCCACCACCTGACATGGGTCCATTGTCCCTTTAGGTGATGCTCTTGGGCTAAGTCCTTTTTAGATGACTTTTAGTTGGTCATCTCTCCTGCTTGGCCCACATCTAGTCTACAGGAAACAGCGAATTTGGGGGTCCAGCCCATTTCACATGCAGCTGCCTCCTGTTTTCACTAGCAGTCAACCTGGCTTGAATTTTTCCAGCCTGGGGCCTGCGTCACCCTTGTTTGTCTGCAAAGCTTCAGTGAGCACAGGCCAAGCAATAATAGGGCCTTGTTCTTTTATGAGTTATTACAAGAAAGCTGAGACTTGTGAATGTTTAAAATCAGAGATAGATACTAACAGGAGGGAGGGTTTTTTTTTTTTTGAGACAGGGTCTCACTATGTAGTTTAGGCTTGAACTCACTGTATACTCCAGGCTGGCCTCGGTGATCTTCCTGCCTCAGCCTCCCAAGTG